GTCTTATTAAATGGTGACTTTCCTGGGACTCAGGACTGTGTTTGCATCAGCAAATATGTACTGAGCCTCTGGAATGGATGAAGCCCATTTCTAGTGGGAAATAATGACAAGTAAGTAGGCGGATCACGACAGCACGCAGCGGTAACTGCAACAGGCATCCATGGAGGGAAGAGGGAGTAATGAGCTTCACTAATAGTCTGGGGGGTGCATAGAAGTCTGCTAGCTGGAGAATGGACGCTTGTGCACAAATAAATGGAAGGACCTCACGTGTTCAGGGAAAAATCAGGAGAGTGAGAAGTTCAGAGTGCCAGAAGCGTGATGGCTGTGGGGGACATGTTGGGAGATGGGCCTAGAGAAGCAGGTGGGGAGCAGAATGGAAAGTACCTGTTAAAGTACCTGTGTCCCAAGATAAGGAATTTAAATTCTATCCAGTAGACAGGGGGGAGCCCACAGAAGTTTGTATGGGTAGGGAAGTGGCAGGATCAGGGCTGAAGAGGCTTTAGAGCAGAGGAAGACTGGGGACGAGGGACCAGGGAGGAGGTTGGTGACGGCTCAGGCGGAAACAGTGAGGGCCTGGACGCTTTACAGCCGTCTGATGGGCACGAGCTGCCACCACTTGGCTTTTCACACTGCTTTCATGGCTTGCGATGCTCTCTTTAATCCAGTCTTCCTGGGACTACAGGCCCATTTTTCAAGACTAAGTGTGTAGGTGCTCGATACGGAGACTTCCTTAGTGCCCGCCCTGAATGGGTTCGTGTCCTCCCTCCAGTGCTCCGCTGTCTCTGGCACATTCTTCTTTTTCCCTCAGCACACATAAAATCTTGCTGCACGTCCTCGTGTCCATATCTCTCTTCTGCTTACACCCAGTTCCTTGAAGGCAGAAGCAGACCTTTGCCTCCTTATATACTTGGCACAGTGCCTGACATTTACTGAGCTCTCAATAAATGTGAGATGAATGAATAAACTTTCTAAGTAAAGGCAGTGACTATGGATATGGAAAGAAGAGGCCAAATTTGGGACATGGTTTTTAAAATTACATCAGGGGTTGGAAAACCATGGCCCAGGGGCCAAAGCCAGCCCACTTTCTTTGCTGCTTTTGTAAATAAGGTTTTGTTGACCAAGCCCATTTGTCTACATTTTCTCTATAGCCGCTTTCATGCTACAGTGGTAGAGTTAAGTCATCATGGCAAGAGCAGATGGCCTGCAAATACAAAAATATTTACTATCTGGGCTTTTGCTGGAAAAGTTTGTCAACCTCTGAGTTAGGTGACCAGGATTAATGACTGGAGATAAAGAGTCACAACTTCTTCTTTTCTCCTATCTCCAATCTGTGCCTGATACAGCACTTTATTCCCAAGCCATGGCATTGACCAATAGGCCTGAAGGGACTGAGAAAGAAATACCATAGGGCAGGAAGAAAAGGGAGCCTAAGAGAGTGAGATGGAAAAGAGACTCCATAAGAAAAGACCAGGGTCATAAGCTGCAAGGCAGAATTGATCTAAATCGTGCTTCTTCCCAGTGAAGCTTCTCATGCTTATGCTCTCTTTTAGTCGTCCAGTTTGGCTTCGTCACCCTCTTTGTGGCCTCCTTTCCTCTGGCACCTGTGTTTGCCCTCCTGAACAATGTTATTGAAGTGCGGCTCGATGCAAAGAAGTTTGTCACAGAGCTGAGACGACCAGATGCTGTGAGAACAAAAGATATCGGTATGTCCCCTACTTAGAGTCTGCGGCAGGCCCATCCCCCACCGCCACCCTCATGGTGTGTCAGGGATCAAGGGCTACAGGGAAGCCCTTTGGGGCCTCTTTACCCCAAAGAGCTCCTCGTCCTCAGATCTTCAGGTGCTGGGAGGCCTTCGAGAGGCCACATTATCCACCCCCTCTTGTCCCCTTGGTAACCTAAGCCTCTCCAGACGAGCCCAATCCTGGGGGGCCCGGCAAACCTCCCCGGGGACCATGCCTGCGAGGCATCACCCTGAGCCACAGGGTTGTCATCACTGGGCCGAGGGCGGGAGTGAGCCCGATGCCCTCCTTTCTGTCTTACAGGGATTTGGTTTGACATTCTCTCTGGAATCGGCAAGTTCTCTGTTATCAGCAATGTAAGTGCTTATGTCCAGCTCTGGGGGGAGGGCTTTCCAGAGAAAGTGAGGACTTCGGAGCAGGAAACCAGCCCTTGATACCTCCCAGCCTTTTCCATCTGGAGCTTTATTTAATACAGCTTCTGGTTAATAGTGCATATAAGCCTTCTAACTCATCATGCCGTCGCCAGAGCTGTGCCACTTAACTGTTAATTTCACTAAGAGAAAGAAGGATAATTACAACCAGAATGCATACCTTTGCCTTAAGAATCAAAATCAGATCTTTCTTCAGAGCCAAGAATAATGAGGAAAGAATTCCACATATCTATTTATCTCTTTCCTTTCTTTTCTACTCCTGAGCTAAACAATACCTGGAGCATTGCCCAGTCTGCACGTCTTAATTACGGTTCCTCCAAGTTGTCGATGCAAAGTCTTAATTATCCTTGTGGACTCTGGCACTGTGTAGGTGAAGATAAGACACAGAAGAAGAGGGGTCCCACCTGTCGTGGCCTCCTTAACTGCCTTGCCAGATGTGTCCACATTTCAGAGTAAATCCTACTGGGCCCAAGCCAGCAGCTCCTTTTGCTTCCGTGTTCTGTAGAGGTGGTGGCCAGGCAGGGCCTCCTCTTCCATCTCCCAAGAAAATATCAGCCAGTTCAGTACACACCAAGAAAGCCACAGCCCATTATCCCTTGGGAGAGAAACACTGATTCTGGCTATGATCTGGTTCCCTATTAAGAACACGTAAACTGGCTGGAGAGGTGTGAGGGGTTGCAGAGAGACTTAGCACATTGCATTTGGAATGTTTGATGTAGGCAGCACACATTTCGAGGCTGAGAATAAGGTACAATTTGGAAAATAGATCAATAGCTACTTTGGAGTTGTGTCTACCTCAAAGAGGCCCCGGGTACTAGCACTTTCTGTCTATAATTATTACAAGTATGTTACTCGTTCTCAAATATGGTTATGGCCATCCACACTCATTTCGAAAACAATACCTAAACTACATTTTTAAAAAGGGCTTTAACTGTTGATGTGGAATACAGTATAAACACTTGCCAAAAAGATTTAAGATTTTCTTTGCAGAAAGTACCTCCACATTCAAACATGCAGTCTTTCATTTGTTGTTTGGTTTGCTCTGTAGACATTTATAGAGAGTTTAGATATGCCAGATGCTCTGTTGGGTGTGTGTGGTTCCATCCAGCAGGACCTACTCATTTCCTCTCTGTGTCTCACTTTTCCTAAGTCAAATGAATGGAAGAATCACTTCCATTATGTGATGTGCCAAAAAGCGGCAAGATATGGTGGTCAAATTAAGGAAATTATGGAACCATATCCTTGGTATTTCTGGCTTTCTGGTGTCACTCAAGGGTAGAAGTACATGGTTCTTTTGCCCATTGTACCTCAGTAGCATTCTCATCACTATTGGTAATTTTCTCAGAAAATCTTCCACTCTGCCTTGGCTTGGCCCACACTGATGTCAATTCAAATATCACGTAGGCAGTTTATTCCGTCCAGCACTAAATGGTCCAAAATGACTTAGCATCCTTTGCTGTAGTGGTTGTAATTTACTCTCGTGACAGCCACTGTCTTGTGGACTTGCTTACATGTATCAAAGATGGAAAATCCAGGTAGATAAGCTCCATGAGCTGAGAGATAAGGACTTCTGTATCAATCAGAGTCACACCTCTGGATGGGGAGTCCAAGAGGGGGCAGTCAGCCAGATAGACCCTGTGTCACCTGGACAGCATCCATCCTGACTTTTCTTCAAGTGCTTGTGGTTCTGTTCCTCAGGCTTTCGTCATTGCCATCACCTCCGACTTTATCCCCCGCCTTGTGTACCAGTACTCCTATAGTCACAATGGGACTCTGCATGGCTTTGTCAACCATACTCTCTCCTTTTTCAACGTCAGCCAGCTGAAGGAGGGAACGCAACCTGAAAATTCACAGTTCGACCAGGAGGTTCAGTTCTGCAGGTAAAGTAATCACAAGGAGGAGGGCAGCACAAGACTTGAAGTGGTAGATCCAAGTAATTATCTGGATGACCTAGGCTTAGATCATTGTCCTTTTCCTCTGTCTCCTACCTGACCCCAATCGCTATAAACCAATTTCCGTGAATCAACAAATATTTATTGAGTGCCTTTTGCTAGACACTGTAGAATAGACAAAGAAGTATATAGCCTTGTCTTTACCACTGAGGAGTTTATAGTCTGGTTGGGAAGAAAACAAGCAGAACAGATAGGAAATAGCAGGTTATTTAGTGATTATATCTAGCATGGACCATAAACATTGTGAATATTCAGAGGAGAGGGAAATTGGCATTGGCTAGAACAGAGAGGTAGGCTTCCTTGGAGGGGCCGCGAGGAGGTTGTTTGGTTTGCTCTGTAGACATTTATAGAGAGTTTAGATATGCCAGATGCTCTGTTGGGTGTGTGTGGACAGAAAGAGAGAGTATCCTAGATGGGGAGTCAGCATGGGCAAAGTCATGGGGGTGGGGATGAATCCGGGATGTTAGATAAACACTTAGGGGCTAGGTGGTGTCGTTAGCAAGGAGAGTTCTTAGGAGATAATAATAGGGAATAATATAGGAAATACAATGTATGTAGAAACTCCTAGGATAATATAAGCCAAAAACATTGTTGCATTTGAATAGATAGGATAAAGTAGATAGTGGGCCATTTTGAAATCTTACAAGAATTATAATGTGATGTAATGGGAAGATATTGACCTTTTTAGTGCCAAGGAAGGAAGGATAGGTAGGCTTTGGAAAATTGACCTGATCTAAGAGAGAAAGATAAACTAGACTTGGGGAAACAGGGAGGGCAGCTGAGCTGCTACATCATTCAGACATGAACCGTGGTGGGCACAGACCAGGGCAATGAAAGAGGAAAGGAGAAGATGATGAGCTATTTCATATAACATATTGCAAAGTTGGTGACAAGACACATAAGAGAGAATATGAGTCAAGGATATCTTCAAAGTTGGACTGAAGTCCAACGACTAGGAAATTGTGAGTCCATTGAAGAGATGGGGAAGATGCTAAGAGAGTCTGATTTTATGGTACATATGATGAATTTGATTTCAATCATGTTGCATTTAAAATAATGGTAAGAAATCTAAGAGGAAGCTTTCACCTAACTTCTAGACACACTAAGCTGGAATTTCAGAAAGGTCCAGGTTAGAGTCATGATTGAAAATCATCAGCACACTATTTACCTAAAAGGGCAAATAAAGAGAAGAAGAGCAGAGGGGAATAAATTATTTAACTCTTTTTTACCCTGGTGAAACGATAGTCCCCATAAAGGACTTAATCAAAGATCATACCTCATTAATTTAAAAAAATAGAACACTAAAATAAAAACCTATGAAAAAGTATTGCTAGGAAAATGTAGGGCTCTATTGTACCATCCTCAATAATGTCTGATGCAAAAGCTGCAGATGACTCCATTGAAGAAGCAGTGTTTCAGCCGTGTTTGCAGCAGTGATGACCCTTAGCATATCTGCCATGCTTACCCACCTGGGATACCTTGATATTCAAGATCAGCCATTTGTAAGATGGCTGCTTAAGTTCAGTTTCACAGCTCAGACCACCAAAGAGAGAAAACAAATTGGTCTTCCCAATTCAGATAGCTGAGTTAAACAACCTTACCTATTTGTGATTTAAATAGAAGGGTCTTCTGGTTCCAGGAGCAATAACTCTAGGGTTCAACTCTAGCAAACCAAGACAAGACTCAAAATCAGAGACCAGATCTAAGAATAGATGAGTAAATTTATTCATAGATATCAATTTACATCAGCCTATATGGTTCAGGAATTTTCACATCCGGTGCTGTAAAGACTCTGGCTCTTAGACTAAAGTCGTATGTAGGCCAATTTGCAACTAGACTGTGCGCTGGCCAGGGGTCACTCCTCCATATGTCTGGAGTGCCAGACTGTCTGTCCATGGTGCTGGATTTGGGTCTGCAGATCCAAAAGACGTAGTCCTACTGCACGGAGGGTCTATACCAGCTCCAGGCCTTTTCTGGTAGCATCTCGATCTGCTCCAGCAGGATCTGTGAAATTAGCCAACAGGTTTACATTAAACAAGCAGGCACTGAAAAGTGAGAATTATCTAATCATGTTTATAAGTGGAAAGTACCATAACAATCATCTTGAAACTCTCCATTCTACATAGAAAGAAACTTGGGAAGTTGAAGAATTATCCAAGATTACGAAGGTTTCTAGTGTGACAGATCCTAAAGTAAAACTCGCATCTGTCTAAGAACACAGGCTTCTACCCCCATGTGCTGTTGGGGAGCACCACCAGTGTGACTTACTATGTAGGGAGGCAAGGCTAACACTATCTGCTTTTCCAGTCAGTCTAGAAGCACATGTCTGTCCAGAACACTAAAGTTCTCTGACTTTGCCCCTGACCATCAGATCTTCCAGTAACACATATGAATATGCTTTCTAGATATATCAGTGGCTTAACCTGGCTTAAATACAAAGGAACTTTAATGACTCCCATACTGAAAGTTGAGAATGGGCCTAATTTTAGGCAAGGGATGATTCAATCAAGTCTGCTCCAACCAAATCTTTCTCTGTCTCCTAACTCCATTCTAGTTGATGTTGATTGTAGTTTCAAGCTCTATATCACTGCCAGCAGCTATAGGCCAGTATCATATTGAGTCCAGTGAGAAAAAATACCTCTTTTCCAGTGACCCCAGCAAAAGTCTCATTGTATCTCCTTGACTAGGATCAGTATGCATGCCCTACCTGGAACCCATCTCTGTAACTAGAGGAATGCAATTCTCTCCATGGCCTTTGGGGTAGGAGTTGGGGGTGGAATCATCTCCAGTTGAAGCATGTGATTGCCAAGTAGGAGGTAGTTCCCTAGTGAGAAGTCAAAATGAATGGATACCACTCAGCCAAAATAACAAATGCCCAGGATACCAGATATTATTAGTACACATGGATCAGATTGAGCTTTCTTGTATCTGCCTTCAGAGTCACTGCATTTTCCAGCCAGTCATAAAGCCTTGTTAACTCTTTCCATTGTTTTCATTCAGGTAGATGGAATCATGGCTTATCTGTGGCCTATTTTTTAAAAATTCTGCCACTGTGTGGCAGAATTATCAATGGATGCATACATAGGAAGTGCATTCTATATTTCATTTATTCACAGAAAATAGATTATTCCAGAATCAAACCAAAATGAATTTTAGAGCATTTGATCATTTTTCCCTTATATAGTACCAGTGAGGATTATAGGTTCATTAAGTTTTTGAGGCCTTACTGTAGGCTTGGCATGGTGATATAACAGGGAACAAAACACAGTGACTTCCTCAAGGAGTCTAGATAGAGAAGATCAGTAAGTAAATAAGCAATTAAAATGTAGTTTTACTAATTTACAGTAGGGTCACCACAGAGAGCTCTAGGAACCTTAAGGACAGAGGTCATGCACCTCACCCAGACTTAAGTGTGCAGGGGAAGCTTCAAGGGAGGTGAAACCCGAGCAATGGACAGGACAAGAGTGGCCAGAGAGAATAGCTTGTTGGAACTCATTCACATGACCAAGCCAGCCTGGGTGCTGATGGGGTTGGGAGGAGTGGTGGCAGATGTTGTAAAGGGAGTGTCCAGTGGAGAAGGAGGTCCAGGAGGAGCTGTGCGTTCCAGATGGAGGGGCCAGTTCATGCTCGGTGGTTGGGGCTGGAGTGAGAGGGGTCAGCTGTGAGAGATGAGGCTGGAAGAAAGCACAAAAGCCGGACCAAGCAGAGCATGTTGGTCACTTGGAAGCGTGTGGATTCCCGCTTAGGGTAGCACAGAGCAGCAGTGTTGAGCTCAGACTTTTCCTTGGCGTTATCTCTGACCACAGTGTGAAGACTGGTGGGTTACATTTAATATAAAGAGCTACCCTTCTCTAACGGGTAAGCGGATGTCTAGAGAACAGGGTCAGCACATCATCTAGATAGAACCGATCAAATAGGTGTAAATTGCAGGCTACGTTTCCTAGATGGACGAGAGTTGTTGATAGAAATCTCTATCTCAGATGGGTCCTGCTCAATGCAGGCTGTGTGAACTTGCCTGCATCATCAAATTTTCTGGAGATTTCGGAAGCGGAGGCATAACCTAATGATGTCTTTGAAAGCTAGGAATTGTCAGTAGCTGAGAAATAGAAATGAAGGAGAGAGAGAAAAAGGGAGGAAGAAGAAGAAAGAGGGAGGGGGAAAAGTGGGGTGTATGTGGTGGAGGTGTGGAGAGAGAGGGAGGGGAGGGAGAGAGAGAGAGAAGGATTGATTGATTGAAATTGGGAATGGAGAAGGGACTGTGTGAAAGAGATTGTGAGAAACAGAGACAGTTCTGTATCTAGCCCCAAAGCCAGCATTTAAAACCTCTTCCGTGGTGGGAAATGAAGTTTGCCCTGATTTTCTGGCAAATAGTGTTGGGAACTCGATGACCCTTCTTATTCTTAGTTTTCAGTGACCTCTGGAGATAAATGTGGTCAAGTAAAACTGAGGTCTCCAGCTCCAACCCGGCCTCGCCAGGGAAGAGGTATCTTAAAAATAGCAATAAAAGTTAGGACAAGTCTCTGGCTGCCCAATTGAGATACATTCCCAGCATTTTTGAAGCAACATTGGCCTCAGCCATCTAACCACTCTGGCAGGGCTGCTCCATAAACAGTCCTGTGACGTCAATCTGCAGGCATGATTAGTGGCCATTTGACAAGGTCGACTGAGCACTGCTTCCTGGAGGATGGATGGCAGCTTGGGCTCCCATCTCTGCTGGAAGGGAGCAGAACGATCAGTAGGGCAGGGCCTGGCCAGGGATCTGGGTCCCAGAGCTAGAGGAGCCGACCTGGGCATGGTCAACCTAATGGTCTCTTTGGAGGTGCTGAACCTGCAGAAACAGCATCTTTGAGTGGTTCCTGCTGGGTTTTATGCAGGGCTTAAGTTTTTTCACATCCCAAGGTCCTGTAAAAGTCTTCAAAGAGGTAAGT